TGGTACTCCCCTCTCTGTGTCCATGTGTTCTCATTTTTCATCACCCGCCTATGAGTGAGAATATGCGGTGTTTCATTTTCTGTTCTTGTGTCAGTTTGCTGAGAATGATGTTCTCCAGATTCATCCATGTCCCTACAAACGACATGAACTCATCATTTCTGATTGCTGCATAATATTCCATGGTGTATATGTGCCACATTTTCCCAATCCAGTCTATCGTCAATGGGCATTTGGGTTGATTCCAGGTCTTTGCTATTGTAAACAGTGCTGCAATGAACATTCGTGTACATGTGTCCTTATAGTAGAACGATTTATAGTCCTTTGGATATATACCCAGTAGTGGGATTGTTGGGTCAAATGGAATTTCTATTTCTAAGGCCTTGAGGAATTGCCACACTGTCCTCCACAATGGTTGGACTAATTTACACTCCCACCAACAGTGTAAAAGTGTTCCTTTTTCTCCACATCCTCTCCAGCATCTGTTGTCTCCAGATTTTTTAATGATCGCCATTCTAACTGGCGTGAGATGGTATCTCAATGTGGTTTTGATTTGCATCTCTCTGATGACCAGTGACGATGAGCATTTTTTCATATGATTGTTGGCCTCATATATGTCTTCTTTCGTAAAGTGTCTGTTCATATCCTTTGCCCACTTTTGAATGAGCTTGTTTGTTTTTTTCCTGTAAATCTGTTTGAGTTCTTTGTAAATTCTGGATATCAGCCCTTTGTCAGATGGGTAAACTGCAAACATTTTTTCCCATTCTGTTGGTTGCCGATTCACTCTAGTGACTTTCTTTTGCTGTGCAGAAGCTGTGGAGTTTCATTAGGTCCCATTTGTCTATTTTGGCTTTTGTTGCCAATGCTTTTGGTGTTTTGTTCATGAAGTCCTTGCCTACTCCTATGTCCTGAATGGTTTTGCCTAGATTTCCTTCTAGGGTTTTTATGGTGCCAAGTCTTATGTTTAAGTCTTTAATCCATCTGGAGTTAATTTTGGTGTAAGGTGTCAGGAAGGGGTCCAGTTTTAAAGTTATTTTTAAGTGGTTGCCCGTATAATTGCATTTAGCATCCTAACTGAAGACAGTGTATTACCAAGTTAATTTCAATTGTGTACAAAAACTGCTCATTAGAATGAAGCTGTATTAAGCTTCATTCCTTTTTACCTCCTTTGTGCTATTCTTTTACACAAAATACAACTTTAGATATTAAGACATATTTACAGTTATTGCTTTATGCAATTGCCTTATAAATTAGGAGAAAATCACAAAAGTACATTTGTACACATTTTTGTATTTATCAATGTAGTTGCATTTATTAGAGTTCTTTATTTCTTCATGTGGATTTGTTACTGTCTAGTGTTCTTTCATTTCAGTATTTCTCAGTAGTGATGAACTCCCTCATTTTTTGTTTATCTGGGAATGTCTTCATTTCTCCTTCATCTTTAAAGGCTAGTTTTGCTGGATATAGAATTCTTTTGTACTTTGAATGTGTCATTCCAGTGTCCCCTGGCTGCCATAGCTTCTGATGTGAAGCCAGCTGATGTTTGAGTCTCTTTACTTTCTTTTCAAAATTCTGTTGGTCCCTGGCTTTGGACAGTTTGATTCCAGTGTGTCTTTGTGTGAATCACTATGACTTTGTTCCGCTGGGAGCTTTTTGAATTTTGTTTCTCATCCACACTCAGCCAGGCAGTGGACAGCTCTTTCTCCTTCGCATCTTCCTTGTTCAGAGCCTCAAGATCAGTCAGAGGTGAGAGAGCTCAGGGCGTTCTCCGGTTTCTCTCTCGGGCATTTTTACAGCCCTGTGCATGCAGATGGTCTTCCATGTTCCCAGGACTGTGCCAGAGCTTTCCAGAGCCTCTGTGGACATCTGATTCTCCAGCCCCTCCTCCTGAGCTTGTCTAGTCTCTTGTTGGCCCAGCTGTGATGCATTTGCTGTCAATGTTTTCCATGGCTACACCTCCAAGCAGTGGCTTCAGGTCCCCGAGCCCTCCTTTTGGAGACTGTCTTTGGATGAAGCCTCCAGCCAGCTGTCTCCCTGGAGAGCGAGGCTTCTCACTGTCTTGGCCTCGTTACATCTTCCCTGTGCACACTGGGCACTGAGAAACCGCTTCTTGCTGATGGAACTTCAACAGAACCCTCCACTTAAAAATGTATCATAGAATGGCTCCTAATGACCACTGGCACTACGACTCTCTCCCCACTTTTTAAAATTGCTGTTAATAAACTGCTTATAATTCATGCCATCATTCCGATAATACTGATCACTGGTATTCTTAACAGTGTGCCATCTCACCTGTGACCATGGTACCATAGGACTGGTGGCAGGTCTTGCCTTACAGAAGGTCCCTTTATTGCTTCTGGGCTAAGATCAGTGTAGTATCTGTTTTTACCAGAAATGTACTCTGTGTATCCAGGCTATGTGAACTGGGCAGTGCGCTGTGTACAGGGAAGTGTCTGTTCAGTCTTGAGCCCCAGCTGCCTCGGGGGTCTGGAGAGATGTGAGGGGAGCAGGCCCAGGGCGGGCATTGGCCTCTCTTGGGGTTCTTGACTCAGCTTTCATCAATGCAGCATCCTGATTTGGCTTGAGATGAATTATTAGGCTCTAGACACACCAGAGGAAGGATGAGCATCAAATCCATGCCAAAGGCCACTTGGGTTGGTTCTTTACTTGTTCCATTTCCTCTGTGGCTTCTTGAGGGCCCTGGTCTCGATGGCCCCCCTCCTTCTGTGGGAGGCCTGTGTTTCCGTGCTGTTTCCCCTCCCTGCAATCTGCATGCCCGCAGCCAGGCTTTGTTGGAGGCGTGGCATCAGCTCTGAAGTGAGGAGCGACCAGTGTGCCTGCTGGGCTCATGCTGGGGTGTGGTCTCGTGTGAGTTGGCAGGGCCTTGGCACTGTGGGTCAGTACCACACACTGGGAGTCGCCATCTTGATCTGATGGGCCTGTCAGCGCAAGACATTGGGAGGTAGACAGGGAATGGGCGGGGAAAGCGGCAGCCGAAAGGACGGCGCAAGGGGCAGTGGGGTGCCAGGGACGGGGCAGTGGAGCAGATGGAAGCAGAAGGCTCAGGTGAAGCAGGTCTGGAGAGGTGGTGACCCCAGTGAGACCCTAGCCTGCTTTTCTCTGAAGAAAATGATGGAAATGAATAAGCAAACCTAGCTCCCAGCCTCATGAAGAGCTGGCCCCCACAGAGCCTGAGCAGCTCCCAGTTTTGCTCTTGAGGCTGATGTGGCTGGCAGCAGCCTGGGTGAAGCCTACCTTTTCCCTTTTCCTGGCCTCTCAGGGTCCATGGGTCAAGAGCTGATCCCTGCCTCACCTCCATGGAACTCCTCCAAACTGTCCTCTGGAGAGAGCCCATGGGCAGTGGGCCACTCCACCACAGCAGAGCAGGGGCAGGGCAGGTCCTCTCCCCGACGCCGGCAGCTTGAGAAGCAGGAGAGGAGGAAGCCCTGGATGAGCAGGAAATCAGCCCCAATGGACTTTCTGACACCACTGAATTCACTCAGTGTGACATGCAGACATGCCTGGACACCTGTGAAAACCCAGCAATGAGGAGACTAGAAATGAACTGAGGCTGGGATCTCTAAGAAGAGAGAGAAAAGAGACAGAAAAAGCAGCGCAGAGATCAGCGTCGTGTGGGCCCCAGGCAGCCACAGGGTCTCCAGGGCAGGGGGCGGGGGAGATGGCGGGCAGGGCTCTGGAGGAGTATAGGTGCCGAGCATGGGCAGAAGGGACCCACTTCCTGCCATCCAGAGTACAGGGGCCAGGGGCTGGGGCCAAAGCTTTGAGAGAGCCTGTGGCCTAAGAGGAGCAGCCGGGGCCCATTGGTGATGCCTGACAAGCACCAAGAGCATGGGCAGAATAGGAGGCTGGGGTGGTGGCCTAGAGGATTGGATAAGGGCAGAGGCCACACGAGGGAAAACAGTCCAGAGTAGTGCGCATTGTGGCAGGGAGCCCCTCAACTGGGATGCCGCTGGAAGCTGATGCAAGCGGGCGGGATCCTGGGGTGCCATTCCGGGTGGGCTGAGCACAGTCAGCTCAGCGTCATCCTGAGGCACACACATGATTCCTGAGCTTCAGAGTCATCCTCGGGATGGGCAGAGGATGACAAATGCTGGCTTCACAGCACTTAATGTCAATGCTAATGACCTCAACATGTGAAAGGCAAAGCATAGCTGACAGTGGGGTCATGAATGGGGAGCAGACAGGCAGGGCAGGTGAGAGGGATGATGGCCATGGGCTGGGGTTGGCACCTGAGAGGCGGCTGTGGTTTCAGCAGATAAGGTACAGTGCAGCCACCATGGTCGCCACTGGTCTGGGGAGCCCAGGCCTGAGGGCTGTCTGTGTGATGGAGTTTGTTGTTCTCTGCGCTGTGTTATCCATCTGGCTAATACTGAGTGTGCCATGTGCTGCCCCTGGGGCTCAGGTGGCAGGGGACAGGTGGGCAGGGGCACAGCCACACAGCTGGCTCAGCAGACCCTGGCTTGGGCCTCAGAAACTGTGCTGCGGTTGGTGTGAGCCAGCTCAGGGCTCTCAAGCTGCTGGCCTGGCCCCCACAGAGCCTGAGCAGCTTCCAGCTCGGCAGTGCCTGTCCCTTCTCTGCCGTCCTGGTGGTGCCTGGGGCCCAGGGAAGACCAGGTGAGGAGGACATGTAGCCTGGGTGGCAGGCAGGAGGCACCTCACCTCTCCGCCACGCTCACTTTCCTCTTGGCATCGTTTCTTTCCTCTGCAGCTGCCAAGATGAATGAACTACTGGAGAAATACAGAGTCTTCAGGGATGGCCCACGCAAAAGCACAGGATAGTGGGGGCAGGAAGCCCTCTCCTGAGACCAAGTTGGCCGAGGAGTGATGAGCGTGGCAGCAGAAGCCCTTGCAGCCCCACGTTGTGCTCTCAGCAGGGACCTTTGGCCCTGTTGGGGAGGGAGAGACAGATGGGCGGTTTGATTCAGACACAAAGAAAACCTGTTTCTAAGCAGTGGACTCCAGCCTGCTTTCTGCTTCTGTAGCTCTGCGTCTGTTTCCTCCCATCTGTCCTAAGCTGCTCAGGTGACCCAGGTCTGGGCAGGCTGGTTGCGGCCCTCCTGTCATCACTCCTCCCTGCTGCTGCCCGCTGTGTGTTAGCAGAGACCCCACCACTACCTCCCCCGACTGGCCTCAGGGTCCTTCGCAAGACTCACCTGTCTGCCGCCCTCCTTGAGTGCCCCTGGATCCCGCGAGGGGTGCCTGTTTCCTCCTCCTCGCTACCCGGCGCTCAGCTCTGGGCAGGGGAATTCAGCCTGACTGGTTGTCCAGGAAGCTGCTGTGTGGACTTCCCAGGGTGACCCAGTATCTCTCTGAGCAGTGTGCCTGTCACGGCTGCCTCCCTCCCTCCGAGCACTGGAACAGGCACAACTGGTGAGGCGTCTGCCTCCTTGGGCCCATTGTCACACCTGCTGCTGCCCACCCCACCCTGCTCCCTCCTGGCACCGACTCTGCTTCACCAAGGTCCCCGTGTACACACATGGCAAGGAGGCCAGGAGGAGCCAGGTGCCAGACCCCCTGCAGCCCCGTAACCTGACGCACCTCCAGCCACCACTGTGAGATGGGAGGCCAGGCACGCCTGTGGTCACCACTGTCAGGTGCACCATCAGCTTTACAGGCCAAGGGACTCCTCTTGGTTACCTCTTGGTGCCCCCAGGAGGGGGCTGGCCCTGCAGTGCACCGACCACCAAGGGCTGGAGTGTCATGCTCTAGAATGAGGTCCTCAGGGTTCCACTGCTCCCTGGACCAGGAAGGTCCTGGTGTCCTTTCCCTGGGATGGTGTGGGTAGGGCAGGTCCCCAAGCCTGGGGTGTCGGGCTGGGCTTCACTCCTCCTGTAGTCCTGGCCCTCCCTGCCCACCCCCTAATGTTGCTCGTCCCTGGCAGGGGAAGCGTCAGCTCAGCTCCTGGGCCAGGCTCACCTCCCTTCCTTCCCAGCAGCCTCTGCTGGGTACATGGTAGATATGATGGGTCATGACGCCCTTAAAGCAGATAGCATCTCCCCGTTGCGGTGGGAAGTGAGCCTGCAAGGTGTGTGAGGAGGCGGCCCTGAGGCTGCCACATCCCTAGATTTTTGGGGATCATGGCATGTGTGGGCACCTTGTTCACACTGCAGAGCTTGCTTCATCCCCACGAGAGGCACACAATCTCCAGTGATGGGAAACTGAGGGCTGGCAAAGAGGACCTGTTGCCTTTGTGTGACTGGCCCCAGCATGGGGGAGCCACAGCCTGGCTGGGTGGAGGCTATGGCCTTCCACACTGCTCCAGCTTCCTCCCTGTGCCTGTGACCAGCTCCGGAGCCTGCATGTGGCCCAGGGCCTGCTTCCTAATCTGTAAATACGGGTCGTGTGTCCCAGTGGCTGTGAGCTATTGAGGGGGCGGTGAGGGGGTGGCGAGTGAGCCGGCTGCGCAGGTCCTGCGGCCCCAGGCCTCATTGTTAGCCAACAGGCAGCTGGGGGCGGGCTGTGGCTGCTTATTAAAGGCCGCCTGGAGCAGCCTGTGTGGCGACAGGTGCCCAGAAGCCCAGGAAGCCGGTCAGTGCCCGCCCCAGGTAAGCTGGTGTGGTGGGGTTGGTGAGGACAGTCACCCTGGGAGCCTGGGGGCAGGCAGGCAGAGGCCAGCTCCGGGCCAGCACCTGTGCCAGGGACAAGGCCAGGGAGGTGGAGCACAGGGGGAGCTGGGGCACTGCAAAGGCTCTTTCGGGAGGCTGCTTGCCTGCTTCCTGGCTGCTGCTTCCAGAGCTGGAGACCCAGCATGCTATGCCCTAGGTTCCCAGCCAAAAAGTATTCCTGGGCTGCAGGTGCCTCTCCCAATCCCTGCTGGGGACTGGCTGGGGGCAGGCAGTAGACTGCTCCGAGGCCTGCTTTTTTTTTCAGTAGGTGGCAGGAGTGGGGCTGATGCTCCCAGAGCCAAAGGTCACAGGTGCTGGGGTCCGGGGTGGCAGGAAGTGAGCCCCAGAGGGCTCAGAGCTTTGGCTAGGGGGAGGGTGGTATGCAGGAGGGCTCCCGCTCACCTCAGGGTTTGTGCCTCTTGCTCTGGCAGTTTGAGACCTCGCTATCCCCTTAGGAACATCACCATGTCAGAGGCACCCCGGGCTGAGACTTTTGTTTTCCTGGACCTGGAAGCCACTGGGCTCCCCAGTGTGGAGCCTGAGATTGCCGAGCTGTCCCTCTTTGCTGTCCACCGCTCCTCCCTGGAGAACCCGGAGCGTGATGAGTCTGGTGCCCCAGTACTGCCTCGGGTCCTCGACAAGCTCACACTGTGCATGTGTCCAGAACGCCCCTTCACTGCCAAGGCCAGCGAGATCACTGGCCTGAGCAGCGAGGGCCTGGTGCGGTGCAGGAAGGCCGGCTTTGATGGGGCCGTGGTGCGAACACTGCAGGCCTTCCTGAGCCGCCAGGCAGGTCCTATCTGCCTTGTGGCCCACAATGGCTTTGATTACGATTTCCCTCTGCTGTGTGCTGAGCTGCAGCGCCTGGGTGCCCGCCTACCCCGGGACACTGTCTGCCTGGACACACTGCCAGCCCTGCGAGGCCTGGACCACGCCCACCGCCATGGCACCCGCGCCCGGGGCCGCCAGGGTTACAGCCTGGGCAGCCTCTTCCACCGCTACTTCCAGGCTGAGCCGAGTGCAGCGCACTCAGCCGAGGGTGATGTGCACACCCTGCTCCTTATCTTCCTGCACCGCGCCACAGAGCTTCTCACCTGGGCAGATGAGCAGGCCCGCCGGTGGGCCCACATTGAGCCTATGTACTCGCTGCCTGATGACCCCAGCCTGGAGGCCTAAGCACCAGCGCCACTCCCTATGCCTAGGACACTGCCAGTGTCCACTGTTCAGCTGGCCTCTACCAACCCCGGCTCCTTTTATTTGGGCAGCCTCAAGTCTGTGCACCTGCAAGACCTTCCCCGGCTGTCTGACCAGCCACACAGCCCCGGAGTCCTATCTAGGCCCTGCTTCTGGGGCCGTGCTCCCCCAGTCAGCCTGCATGCCCAGCAGTTTGCTGTTTCTCAATAAACATTGCCAACTACTTACCCTCTGACTTGCTGGCTAGATACTCGGGGCTGGACTCTCCCAACCCCCTGCTGAGAGGGGCCAGGTGGGAAGCCATGCTAGGGGCCAGCACAAGACCTCCAGGGCCGTCCCACTATGGCCTCTCCCCACAGTGAGGTCCGTGGGTAGCTGGGTGGGAGATGTCAGAGCTCTTGGGCTGTCTGAGTGCTGATGGGTTGTGGCTGTGGCCCTGAGTGCTGGCTCTCTGCATTGTTGCCCCAGAGGCCCACAGGGCCAGCCACCCGCTAGGGTGCAAAGTGCAGCTGCAGCACTCGAGGCTGTGGGACCTCGAGTCTGTCCCTGCTCTTGAAGTGGTAACAGGGTAAAGTGCTAAGAAACAGGGTGCTGGGGAAAAGGGAGGTGCCCCCACATGCGGGTGTGCACATGTACAGGCTGAGGGCTCTGAGGGGGCATGGAGCAGGGGTGTGTGGCTGGCGCTGCGAGGGTGACACTAGAAGGAGCCTATCCTGCACCCTGAGTCTCCTCTAGGGCCAGGAGGCCGCTTGGTGGGAGGGCAGCTTCTGGCCACCGCCCTGCACTTCAGGTTCTCAGCTAACCTGCCCCAGGGGCCCCACCCTGAGGCACTCCCAATATCGTGGGGAGTCCTCATGGGTGGGGAGAGACCTGTCACCAATGTTGGGACAGGTAAGAAGGGGTGGGGTGGCCACGCCTGAGAGTGACTCACATGAGCAAAGCCGGGCCATCCGGGAAGCCCTAAGTAGGTCAGAATGACTGGAGCCACTGCAGCGTGCGTGGTGGTAGGATGGTGAGGCCAGAGCACAGGTGGTGGCCACCTCGGTCCTTCCATCTGGGCCACGCCTGATCCTGAGGGCAGCAGGGAGCCGCGGAGGGTCTGTGTGTGTGGAGCTGTTCTCCTGTTGCTGTGAAGTACCTGAGGCTGGGTCATTTACAAAGACAGCAGGTTTATTTTGGCTCAGAGGCGCCAGCATCTGTTACTGGTGGGGCCTCAGGAAGCTTCCACTTAAGGCAGGAGGCAAAGGGTGAGCAAGAGAGAGGCGGGGAGGTGCCATACTCTTCAATCAGCAGATCTTGAGGGAACTCAGAGTGAGAATTCACTCCTCACGTAGGTGAGGACGGCGCCAAGCCATTCATGAGGGATCCAACCCCATGACCCAAACACCTCCCACCAAGGCCCCACCTCCAACACTGTGGGGGCTCATTTCAACCTGAGATTTGGAGGGTACACATCAGGCTGCTGCATGGAGAATGGGCAGGAGCGGAGAGCAATGCAAGGTGGGCAGAAGCAGACCATGTAGGTCTTTGGCGGAGGTAGGGAGAGCCACGGGCCTGGCTAAGGACAGTGGCAGCGGGGGAGAGAAGGGGCACGGTCTGGGGAAGGCCCACAGGAATAGTTTGGGAAAGTGCTTAGTAACCAGAAGATCTTGTTACAGCCACGCTTCTGGAGGAGAGCATCCACCTGGGAGAGTGTCACAAGGCCTGGGCTGGCCCCACAGGAGCTGAAGTAGGCGACACTGAACCCTCAGATCCCCCGGTGCCCAGACAGAGCCTACTTCCGTTTATCTGACTGGCCAGGCTCCACCTGGGCAGCTGGAACCAGCAGGTGGCACCCTTAAAATCCTGGCCTTGGTTGGGCGTGCTGGCTCACGGCTATAATCGCAGCACTTTGGGGAGCCGAGGCAGATGGATTGCTTGAGCCCAGGAGTTCGAGACTGACCTGAGCAACATAGCAAGATCCTGTCTCTACAAAAATTAAAAAGAAAAATTAGGAGTGCCGGCACACATCTGTAGTCCCAAGCTACTCCGGAGGTTGTGGGCCAGGGGATCATTTGAGCTTGGGAAGTTGAGGCTGCAGTGAGCCCTGATGGCACCACTGTACTCCAGCCTGGGCGACAGAGCCAGACCCTATCTCAACCCCACCCCTGCAAACCAAAAAACAAGAAAAAACCCTGGCCTTGCCACTGACTTCCTGGGTAGGTGACAGCAAGTGGATCCCTTCTCATTGGGTGTGCTAGAAGGGCCTCAACTGCAGGATGGGACAGACAGGCAGGTGACAGCCTGATTTTGGCTGTTGCCACCTCTGTGGAGGGGTCTCTGGTTTTGGGCCCTCTCACCTGTCTTGGGCTGAGGTGCCTCTCTCATCACTCTGGGCTCCCCTGGCCTCACGGTGGCCTGGCCTTAGGCTGTGACCTGCCACTCTGCTGCCTCAAAGCAGAAATGTGCTTATAAATGGTTAACAGTCAGCTTTCCAGGAAAGGAAATGTACACACATATATGTAGGCGTGGATCGTTCTCCCTCCCCTGTCTCTATATATACACACAGGCACATGCATACATATACATGAACACACAATTTACAAATAATAAAACCAACAATATGCGTAAAATAAGCCACAAAATATACAATATACTCTTCATTGCAAGTTCCACCTAGCCAATCGATACTCAAAAAATAACTTGATTGACTTTTACTGAGTTCTTACATCTGTACCCAGTACCTGATTGCAATGGATGGACAGGGGTGGTTTCCACAAAAATGTTGGCTGTTTTCATTTATTTTAATGAATAAGATAAATATGAAGCAGCAGAGATGAGCAACTTCTTTCCTGAATCGGATGATAGTGAGTTTAATCTGCAATATTAACATTTCGTTCCTGGCTTTCTAATCAACAAAACAGTAATACATCAAGCCCTGGCGTGCCGCGGCTTGTGGAGCTCTGGGGTATAACACTTCCACCACACAGTAACAGTAAAGCATACTTGAATAATTAAGACGTGAGTTTTGAATATCTCCTTTTTTAAAATATGATTTTTCAGTTTACATAATTTAACTTTTAATAATGATAGGGTTTGTTTAGCTCTAAAAATTCCTGAACGTTCAACATGTATTAGAACGGCTAAAACAAAACCACTGAGCACAAGTGTTGGTGTGATACGGAGGAGATGCGGAGCACTGGTGGGAAAGTGGTGCAGCCATTCAGGAAAACACTTCGCCTGAAAATGTTAAACATGCACCTGCCATATGAGACAACAGTTCCACTCCTATGCATTCACCAAGACAAAGGATTAAGTAACCATGCCAAGACTCATACTCCAATGTTCACGGTGGCTTTGGCACAGCAGCGCCAAACAGGAAACAGCCCAAATGTTCATCATCAGATGAGTAGTTGGACAAGCCACAGCAGGAAGAAGTGAATTCCCAATGTGCGAGCTCGTCTGCACGGGGCTGCAGAGCCAACGGAGCCAGACCAGCGAACAACTCCATTGCTCCAGTGGTGATCATAGGAGTGTACCTGGGTGACATGTGACATAAACCTGTTGAAAATTGAATTCACCATGGAGAGGGATGAATACTAAAATGAAAGGCTCGTCTTTGTGCGGAAGACAATGTGGGGAGCACAGAGTCTGAAAGCCACAGCAGAAGGCTGGGGAGGGCCACGAGAGCACAGAGGGACATCTGCACTTCTTGTAAATGATGCCTGCCCCCTGCCTGTTGCAAATATTTCAGGCAGCATTGGTGATGGTCAGCTACACAGGTTTCACATAGGGGACCCCCAGAAACAGTATTAATATTGTGGGGATGCTGCTTTTTTACAGCTCAGCTTGTGAACGTGGACCTCCCACTCGTGCACACTCACTCTTGCACATGTGAAGACACACACACCCTAGCACACGCTACACACACGCACACATGCGTGCACGTGCACATACTTGCACACACCCACACGCATACACACCTGTACATTTGCACACACGTGCACACATTACCACACGTGTGCACACATGCACACACGCTCGCACACCTCCATACACATGCTCACACACCTACACGTACTTATCCACATACATTCACACACAAAACCACACACTCAAGTATTCATTTGTACACCTGAGCATACACAGCTGCACATGCACACCACACACTTGTGCACACACCTGTGCACACACTGCACACACCAGTATACCTGTGCACACTTGTACACTTTCACACACCCACACCCACACACAGATGCACGCTTGTGCAGACACACTCGTATGTATGCACACACAATCACACACATGCACAAACACCTGCACATACAGTCATACATTCTTGCACACATACCTGTATTTGCCATTTCATGTCTGTTGAGCATCAACCTCCTCTAAGGCAAGTGTTACTTGCACTTGGACTTAGTCCCTGTGGGCTCCTATGACAATCATACCTTAGATTGGGTGGCTAATAAACAGCAAACAGTTATTGCTCACAGTTCTGGACTCTAGAAAGGCCACAATCAAGGCAGCAGCAGGTTCAGAGTCTCGCATTGTGGAAACGACTAGCTGGCTCACAGGGTCTCCTGTGAAGGCACTAATGTCATTCACGTGGTGTGGCCCTTGTGACCTATTCACCTTCTAAATGCCCCACCTCCTACTGCTGACACCTTGGCGATTCAGTTTTAACATTAATTTTGGGGGGAGACATGCAAGTCCCCACTCCCCCAGCACACACACATGCAACCCCCACATCACATATCCCACCCCCACAACCTATACATGCACACACACAATTACACGTGTGCCACACACACTCCCCTGACAGATAATGTACCACTCCCACACACACACTTGTGATTTGGCATAAGTGGGATCTCATTAGGTGATGCTTTCAAAAAATCATAAACACCTTGGTTGTTTAGGAGTCTTTTCATAGTCGGTTCCATCTAGGGTTTTAGGTGGATTGACATAATACTTTCCATTTGTTCAGTCTCTGTAGTGGTGTCTCCTCTCTCATTCCTCATCATGTATAGTTTTCTTGGTCCTCAACAAGGATTGCAAGAGGTTTATACATTTCATTGGTCTTTTCAAAGAAAAAAAACTGATTGTGACTTATCTTTTCCTTCCTTTTAAATTTTCTGCTTCATTAATATTAGTTTTTTTTTCTTTATTAATTCCATTTGTCTATTTTCTTTTGGTTTAGTTTTTGTTTTTTAAAAAAATTCCTAACATTAAAACCAACCTTTGC